TGACCTGACTTTTCCAGAAATGCTAGAAACCTGGATTTCTTTTTTATTAATGTACAATTTTCAAAACGTTTGTGCCAAACAAAGTGCATTTGCTGCCAAATTTAGTCTGTGGCTGCTACTTGGCAACCTCTGCCCAGAAGCCAGAGTTGCAGGGTTCGGATAGATGAGTTTCATTACCACCAAGTAGATGTCTCGAGGTTCAACCTGCTAAGCCAGAGGGTGACCCATTTACCTCCACAGACCCTGGCTCAGTCGGCACTTCAAGTATAAATGCCCTTTCTTCTCCTCTCCTGCCTTCCCCTAAGCTGCCTCTCTCAGCAGAGAAAGATGACTTTCCACCCTAACTCTAGAATAAGGCCACTGCTGAGTGCCTACTGCAGAAGCAAGAGATCCTACAGCCCAACCATTGTCTGTGCAGCCTGTTCATACCTAGGGAGCCAGGCCTGGGATCCCAGGTGGCTGCAGAAGAAGCAGGCTATGGGGAATTATATTGGCAGCATCCTTCAGGAGGGTCAGATTCTCACAGGTGCATGGGCACCTAGTCGACAGCTAAATAGAAACAATGCCGAAACCACTGGTCACTTGGTTTGATTCTGTCCAGCTGATTATTGTAATTGGGTGACAGGCGGATATTTCCCTCTCCTTTTCAATGGGTGTTGGGAAGGGAGTGGACCAAGCTCAGGAGGCATGCTTCTGGGTGGTTATGTAAGGGGGAAGGCTATCTCCTTCCACAGGCAGAACTGTTCCTGCCTTTCGGCTGCCTAAAGAATAAAATCAAGTCCAACCAAAGTCAAATGCCAGGAAATTTCAGAACTTCCTCACATTCCATATTGCATTGTCTACAAAGGTCTTTGAAATTCTCCCTGCTCCAATACTCACAGGGGATACAGAGTTAAAGAATGAATTAGAACAGAACCAACTACAATAGGGGAAAAGAAAGAAAGCAAGAAGAAAACTAGTGAGAAAGCAAGAAAGCAAAAGAAAGCAAGCAAGCAAGAAAGAGAGAGAGAAAGCAAGAAAGCAAGAAGAAAGCTAGCAAGAAAGCGAAAGAAAGCAAGAAAGCAAGTGAGAGACACAGAAAGAAAGAAAGGCAGTGAAAAATGGCAGGATTTCTCATTTGGGGATGCTTGTGGCAAATAATGTGTAATAAGGAGAATAGTTTTGTTTTGATGGAGTTGCTACGTTGAAGTTCTTTAAAATGAGCTGTAGATTCAGAATTTTGTAATGCTGTGGATGGAGCCCTCTTCTGGAGAAATTTTTCAACAGGTATTACAAGATCAAAACGCACAGAGATGTACACACTCACTCAGATGCGTACATAGAAACACTGTTGGCTACTTAGATGATATGACTGTCACTCAGGTGTAAATTAAATCCATAGTTTGTCCTTTTCCTTACCTTCCACTAAATATAAATTAACTAGACTCCCCGAGCAGTTGTATTTTTGGAAGGAAATAAGGATGTTTTCAAGAACCTAACTATACTTTACTCTAAACATTGAACTTCAGATTGAGGCTCAACTTACACATCCAAGTGCTGATACTTTTAGATAATGCAGTTATTGGGTATGTTGGTTTGTTGGGCAATTTCACTATAACACATAGAGGATACTTCTGGAAGGAAATAGATTTTACTTAATGGAAAACCCAAGGGCTAAAGATAGAAAAGGGGAGAAGGGAGGGAGGCAGAGTAGGAGCGATCAGCTAAGATGACTGTTGGGGCTTTTAGTATAGACTGTGGAATTACACAAATTCCAGATTACATACTCAGCTTTGCAGTTTATTAAACCTGTTTTGGGACTTGCTAAAAAAAAAATATTCAGACAGGTGAACTCTATCACTGACTCCTTTTACTACATATTCCATTTCCCTAGTGCTCTGGAAATCTTACAGCCTGTCATGTATCAACCCTAGCGGGGCAGGGGACAGCACTCTCTTCAACCCTGTGTCTTTTTCCTCATCCAAAAGGTTCTGCAAATAAACACTGCTCTTAAAACATAACACAAAAATTTGCAGGAGCACTACAAGACACTGATTCTCATTGAAAATCCTGAAAATCAAGATTCTGACCCCAAGAGAGAACTCCCCACTTTATAGTGAAATCTCAGAATTCCATGGAACATTTTGAGTCACTCCCAAGTGACTGTCCTCCAAGCCTGAACCACTCCCTAAATTCCTAATTCTTGGGGGATTACTCATTCATTGTTAGAACTCTTGATTAGTTGTAAGTGCTACCCAAATAGGGAGGGGAATCACATTTACCACGGAATTTTTTGCTCATTTCTTTCTTGATTTGTTTCATACTCATTACTTATCATAGGCAAATTCCAGAGGCCACTTCTGGAACAGACTTCCCCAAAACACCCCAGGGGATAGAAGAGGTGAGTGTTCAACGGTGCCAGCTTCCAGTCATTGATGCTTAGAATTCCTCACCTCCTACCAAAATGCCTAAAACAACAAGCAAGCCAGTACGCTTACAGAGATTGATGGCTTCCAAAGCCAGACCCAATGCTTTACAACTGTGGTGGAAAAAAACATACAGGCTTGCCTGAACACCACCAGGGCCGAGTGACTAATTTGCTTTATTACATTGTTTTTCCCTTCTGTTTTCTCTCTGCCTCAGGAAAGTTTTGTTTTTACTTGTCGACTCAAAGGCTTCAAGACTTTCCCCACTTTTTTCTATGGCACACAGAGCTCTGCAGTGGAACTTCTTGCCAGTTAACTGGATTGCATCAAAATGATTTTTCTGTGAGGTACTATTGCTACCGGGATATCCTAATGTAGACATTTGCTCTGATATGCATAACAATTGAAAATAGAAATAAGCTTCTCAGGGCAATCATTTCAATTCACAGCAAAATCTCTGCTTCCTTCGTCTAAATAAATAGAGTGAGCCTTCAGAACCCACCTGTGCCAGCCTGGCCCTGGGTGAGGAGACGCACCAGTTCATTTTCAAAAAGAACCATGCACAGAGCCCTTAGTGCATAAAAATCGATCTTGGGGCCCTGTCACGTGGTCTGTCTTGCTCTAAAGGAGGCATAACTTTGGGCAAGCCCTGGAATCTGAACTGAGGTTGAAACCTGCCAAGAAAAAAAGAGGACTGTGAAGTCCTGGACAACGCAATGGTAAGTGCTCTCAGACACCCACAGCTCCCAGAGTGGCATGCATTGCATAGGACATCCTGTTGAATGCAATCCTATCCACTCAGCAGTCCTAGGAAGGCAGCAGATTATTTTACAATGGAGAACTTGGAAGCTCAAAGAGGTTAAACAACTTGCCCAGGGTGGTACCACTAGCAGATGGCAGGAAGGATCTGTCTCAATCCTTTCTGTCTGAGGCATGCTCCAAACTGCCTTGCTAAACTGGGGTATATGTACACACATACAGCCTTAGGGATCTTTAGGGTACAGGACATCTGGAAAACTGGTTCACAGCCAGGCTTGGGATCCATGGCAAGACTCAAGATTGTAGAGACCCCAAGATAATCAACCAGCAAAGCCTGGTAGAAAAGGAGCTATAACTGGGCAGTCCTCAATGGGGACTGTATATCCAAGAAAGAAACAAGTCAGGAGCATGGGAGCGGGCTCAGCAGCCAGGCACTTGAATCTCCCCTGGTACTATCACCCATCACTGCATTTCTGAGACGTTAGCCCATTTCCAAAGTCTAACCCCAACATTGCTCTAGCAGTGTCTCCCGTTAGAAGGCTGCTCCTGTCTCCCTATCCCAGACAGTCCCTACCTGGGACCCCAACTCCCTTCCCCTCCCTCTCACCCGCAAACTCACACCTGAGGCTCTACCCCAGCCAGGAACTCAACACTTATTCCTAGCACCCTGAGGCACTCCCTGTCTCTTTCCCTCCTCTCTGCCCGGCCCTGCCCTGCCCTGGCTCCTATCCACCCACTTGAAGGCTGCCAGCTCACTCCAAGTCCCAAAGCCTGCCAGAGAGGCGATGGGGGACTGGATCGGGTGCTCTCCGAAACCACAGGCCCCCGAGCAGCGCTGGGCGTGCCCCCCACAGCCGCCAGCACCCCAGGCCTGGCCTCGGAGCGCTGCTTTCCTGCACTCAAACTTCCCGAAATCTCTGAGATGCAGAGGTGATTGCAGGCTGACCGCGTCTCCCTCGCCCCCTCTCCTGGTTGGCGGGCCCTTCCCTCGCGCCGCAGCGCTCGGAGGGTTAACAGGCAGCTGCAGCCCGGGTGGGCAAGGCTTGAACTTTTCTCTGCGCTCCGCTCCCGCCCAGGGAAGGCAGCAGAGGCGGCAGCCCGGGATCAGGCCGGAGCTCCAGCTGGCTGGACAATAGGGGTGCGGGGGGCTGGGGCCTGCGCCCTGGCGGGGGACGCGCTCCGGCCCTTTCGGGCCCGGGTCTGCGAGCAAAAGGACCCCGATGCGGGTGCGGCCGGCGCCGGAGCCTTTGAGCGACAGCGGCAGCCGGGCTGCGGCTCTCTGCTGCCCCGAGGCGCCTTCCAGCGCGCAGCCGGGCTGTGCCAGGGGGCCCGGGCGCCCCGGGAAGTCGGTGGTGCCTGCTCGGCCTCTCCAGCCCCGCAGCCCGCAATCCGGACTCGAGCAGCGCTTCCGCCGCTGGGCGTTGGGCTGGGTTGGAAACCGCGGCTCGTTGGAGTCGCCTCCAACTGAGTCTTTCTCCAATGCACGGAGCCTCCGGAGGAGGGAACCAAAGTTACCCCACTAGATGTGGGCGAGAATGTCGCCCCTGCTAGCAAAAAAGGACCGGGAGCTCTCTCCTCCTCCCGTGAACAAACCTATACACACACACACACACACACACACACACACACACACACACACGCCAGAGTGGGAGCCTGTGTGTGAGGGGGTGCCTAGGATCTCTGGGCTCGGAATGACCTCCCTACCGAGCCCCGATCTGTCTTCGCCGCCGCGACCAGAGGCCCCGACCCCCCGAAAGCCCCCTCACCCTGCCCGTGCCGGGCGATCTGAATGCGGAAACGGGGCGCGGAGCGCGCCCGGCAGCCCCTCTTCCCTACCTGGGACAGGAGAACGCACAGAACGAGCGGAGTTCTCGACTGCATTTTGTCCGACTAGAAGCGCCCGGCGGCGTTTTCATTCATGCACGCGGCTGCACTGAGCATATTTTCCGTGGGAGCCAGGCTTTGAGGAGAGGCTCTGCCTCGCCAGCCAGCCAACTTCCCAAATAGATCAGCAGCAGCATCACGAAAGCATTGGGTAGAGGCTGATGACCAGGACCAATGGCTTTACAAGACGGATTCCTTCATAACGCTCCCTCGTTTTGCATGGCAGATACGGGGTGAGCACCTCGCGAGGAGCGAGCCCCGCGGAGGTGGCAGCCCATTTGCTTCTTTGGACTGTTGGGGCTCAGCCTCACAAATCACGCTGGGCAATGCCAGCTGATTCCACTTTTCCAGAGAATGGAATTGCACGGGGGACTGGCGGCCACTTCCAGCCTAGTGCAAAAAGATTCTCTTTATTAAAATGTTAATAAGATCTACTCTATTTCCAATAAATCAAATAAAATGACCCCAGCAGTTCCAGCCCTTTCTATGCCTGGCAAGCCTTGGCAGTGGATTTTTTTTTTCTTTTTTCCTTTTTTTCCCCCCATTGTGGCCCAAGTCATGATGGTGTTTGGTGTTTTCCTGCCATCTCACAAATCACAAAGAGGACAGATCAATTCGAGCTTGCAGAAAAAAATTCCATCAAGGGGCAATAGATTTTATTAACTGCTCAGGTGAGAGTCTGACTAGCCACCTACTCCACAAATGTGCATCTGGCACCAAAGCTGGGATCTGGATTGGAGAAAACTTCTTTTTTTATATATGGATGTTACCTTTCAGAAGCTCTGAACTACCCCCAGGTACTCAGAACAGCCGTAGTCACTGCTTAAGGGATTTTATAAATGGGGTGCTTTGCGACTGAGGGTAAGAGGGACATCTAGGTCTGCCTTCCCTAGTAGAAATCTAAGAATATGCAGGGAAGACCTTAATTTATCATTTCCATGCAGCCTTCCTTTAAAAAGAATTTAAGGTGTTTTACATTAAAGGACATTTGTGCAATAGAATTTATGAACCAAAATAGAAAATCTGGGCCAGAAGGAAAAGTTCAGCAAACTGAAATGACAAGCCCAAATTCTAATGTATTTGCTCTGATTTGGATAAGAGCTTCCTGATAGCCAAAGCAATAAAAGCAACATCAGTTACACAGTTTTGTTGTAGAAACATGTAGGCAATGTCTTTCAGCATTATTTTCCATGGGCTAAATACAGGAATAAATGCATTATGTAACATGTAACATAACAGGACACTGAGCAATGGACCATGCCAAGATCCAGTGGACGGGGATGTATTTCTAGCATCTGGCACAGGGCCTGGAACATGGAGATAGCAATTAGTGTGTGTTAAAGAAATAGATGGCTAGACTCAATCAAGATGCAGCAGAAGGTGGGGAGGGGCAAGGAGTCTGGAGCCACACCATCTAGGCACAGCCCCCAGATCTGCCACTTACTCGTAAGTTACTCAAACTCTCTGCCTCCATTTGTTCACAGGTAAAATGAAAATACGAATTATACTGAATTCATAAGGTTGTGGCAAGGATTAAGTGACGACATAACCACTGAGTAAATATAAAGCGATGTGCCTTTTAAGACTCCTTCATTGGCTACTGTTTGGTCAGAAGGTTATCTCCTGTGGTCCCAAGGTCATTGATAAAGATGCAGTGATGTCTGAAGCTTGGCTGCTGTAGCCAGCACTGGCCCAACAGATGGCAATGTTGGCAAAACAACCCCCAGATGAAACTGGGAAAGGTGAATCTTGCTGCTTCACCCACTCATTTCCCTGCCTAAATAGGGTCATCTGTCCCGGAGCCTCTGATCAATACAGTCTGACAGATGATGTCACAGATCATGACACTTTGGAATCCATGTGTGTGAGATCTATCCTCACATCTCCCTCTGGTTTACCAGGGAACTTTGGAGTCAAACAGGCTTCAAATCAAGGCATCCTGAAATATCCAGACTTTTCTCCATTCCAAGGAGGGCACCATCTTGTCATTCAGGGCCAGTTAAACTGAGCCCATGGCTTAGCAATACAAAGATAGCGAAAGAGAGCAGAGGACAGCTTGGGAGGTGATAAACCACCATGAGGAACTAGACCACAGAAGACGAGGATCTAGCTAGGTTTCTATCTGCAGCAGCTCAGTTAAGGGAAGCAGTCCCTCAGAGGAGGGAGTGTCCAAGGCTGCCTTCTAAGGACAGTTCGGTGCTGTGGATTTTATAGTTCTGCTGGCCTTCTGTGGTCTCCCCATTCCCTTGTCCTTAGTGCTGATTACCAAATATTTCCAATTTTTCCCCTTTTGGGATCATGGTAGGATTGCATTTGCTGGCCCCCTTGTCCGGGGGTGGGGCAGTGTGTGTACATCTAGCCAATGACCCATGTGCAAAAGCACCATGTCCCTTCAAGCCTGGAGCATTTAATTGCCAGTGTCAGACAGATGGGTTTCCCTGGATGTGCTTTTTGCCCCAGTATTTCCCCAAGGGGGGAAAAAGTATTGGGTGAGACAGCTTGGTTTGGCCAAGGGCAATTCTCTGGTTTGTCCTCAAATTCATTAACTATATATAAAAGGAGGCCATTGGCAGTATGACGAGTAGTGAGTTTGTGATGCCCAGGCCATGGAAGACCTCATGAGTCTGATGCTACCAATTAAGATGGATGTCATTTGGTGAAAATCCTGCTGATTCTGTCCCCTGCAAAGTCCTGCTCAGGCATTTGCGAAGGTCCCAGGCTTTTGTCCTGGGCTGTTCTACTGGCAGGCAGAGTGGCTCCAGTAAACCTCACCTGATTCCAGGTGGGTGTGCCCAAAAGGCCAGTCTGCATTCCTTTCTTGCCTCAATCCCCACAGATTGGCTTTTCAGGAGTGAGAGGAGTTGACTTCTGGAGTCCCCTTAGGCATTGAGGCTCACTTCTGTAATCCCACAAGGTTCCAAACATGCTGAGCCTACTAAGGTGGAAAAAGATTTGTCAGAAAGATAAGACCTGAATTGAGATCTTCAGATTCCACCTACATGAGGCAAGTCACTTTTGTATCCTAAGACTCAGTTTGTTATCAATAAAATGGGAATAATAACATGATAACACTCCTAGGACTATTGTAAATATTGATGTTTCTCTTCCCCTCTATCATCTATTCCTCTCAACTTTCAGAGGATGTGCATTTCACCAAACAACAAGAGATCATACTTTGTCCAACAAAAACAGAAGAAAAATTATTTCATTCCAATGATAAAAGGCTTCTGAAGAAGAAATCTGTTCTTCTTTGTTTTGCTTTGCTTTTTATTTAGTTCCCTAATAGGGGTTTTTTGGCTGATGAATTGATTGACGTGACAAATAAATACTAAAGCTGAACCCTACATATCCCTACTCTGCCGCCTACCCTGTATCATCCCCCGACTAAGCCCCAGCTGCTGTAGCATCTGTGGGCTCCTCGAGAAGCTGTGTCTGCCTTTAGACACATTCGAGGTTCACACCCCTTTTCCAGACGCATCAGCCTAGCTTGGCACTGAAGGAATAATCCAACAGCCAGCAGCTGCCTCCTGTGGGTGCCAAGGGTTGAGCTTGTTTCCTGTCCTTGGCTGATGTTGATGAAGGCATTCCACAGTGGGTGGATGTGGCTGTGTGAATGTGTGCAAGTTTCTGTGTGTATGTGTACAAGCACATGGGTGTGTGTGTGTAGGGGGAGGGGGTGACTGGCTTATAGTCCAGCAGAGATAATGTATTCGAATTTTGTTATGCTTTCAATGTGCTGCTATGATGAGGCATTTGTATAGAGCGGGGTTAATCCAGCTAGGAGCCCTTATGCAACAACGCAGCGATTAGGCGTGTCTGGGGACCTGCATAACTGGGACCTACTTGGACAGCATGCAGGGAAGACCGTATCACACAGCACTACAACATACCTTCATGCTAATGTCTCACCCCCTACAATGGGAACGCCTGCTAAAAACACCCAAGATTAGGACAATGCACCATCCTACAACAAGTCTCCCTGGCTACCAAAGTGCTGACCAAAAGTAGCATTCCTGGTCACTCTTAAGCCACAAACACTGCTTCATGTTTCTTCCGGGCCCCCGCATTACCTGACCTTCTGCTACGCATTGTTGCATGCATTATCATCTCAATCCTTCACTCCAGCCTGCATCTGTGCCCTTTGCCCCTTGGCCTTGGGTTTAGCCATGCGACTTCTGTGACAAATTAAATGAAGCAGAAGGGATGAGGTGCCAGTTATAAGCTCAGGTCCCAAGAGACCCTCTGTGTTTTAGCTTGCTCTAGCAAAAGCTCCTACTGATGTCTTGAAAAGAGCATTTGTGGGCTATCCCACTGGTCCTAGGAGAAAAGATGAGCCCCTCATGGGCCCACAGATGCTTCAACAAGCCCAGCGGAATCTGCCCAGCTCAGCTGATTGCCAGGTATGTGACCTGAAAACAAACAATTGCTTTACATTTTGAGGTGATTTGTTTTGTAGCAATAATTAATGAGTGATTACATCTGTTGGCTTGCTGTCTGTCTCTTCCTCTGGAATATAAGCTCATTTCTGTATTTTTACTGCTGTATGCTCAGAACAAGGTTTGGAGCATGGCAGGTGCTTAGAAGACTTGGTTTGAGTGGGTAAATTAAGTGACTTTTGCGTTGAAAAATGTGTGATGCTGAGAGGCCCATCACATGTAGCTCCCTATGATGCAAGGTCTTCTCGCAATAGTCCAGACCAGGACTAGACACAGTGAAGAACATGTGTGAGCCTGTGGGTGTCTGAAGATCTTTTGTGGAGGACACATAGGGTGTGATATCCTTCTGAATTTCCTCAATGTAGGCAGAGCCCACACATCTAAGAATAAGACAAAAAAATACTCCTTCATCTTTTTAGGTTCTGCTCTAATACAGTGTCCTCTGTGATATGTTTAATACAAGCATAACTTCCACACTAGCAATGGAGACGAAACCAGGGGTGACTTTTAGGCCATCTCAGTTAAATTGGCCCAATTGTCTTTAGTGCTTCAGTCCCTCATGAGAAGCAAAACTGGGCATTCAGACACTAATTTTTATTTTCTGAACAAGAAGCAGTTAAAACCCCCCTCTAGGTGTCTCCCTTACCCAAAATTAGTGGCTGGGGTTATTTTTACACAGAGATCATCTCAGTGCCAATTCAGTATGGCAATGATGTTTACAGTGTGGCCCAAGACGGGCAGCATCAGCACCACCTGGAAACTTGTCAGCAATGAAAATTCGCAGGTAGGTCAAGCCCCTAGTT